CTCAGTTTTTGTCAGCATTCAAGAGTCTCTCATGGTTTGCCTCTCTCCCTTTCCCCCACCCATTTCCCCCCTTCTTTTCCCCCATGTTCCTCAGTTAAGTTCCTCCTAATCCTCCTATACGTGCAAACATACGATATTTGTCCTTCTCTGCCTGACTCATTTCGCTCAGCATAACACCCTCAAGGTCCATCCATGTTGCTACACATGGCCAGATTTCATTGTTTCTCATTGCCATGTAGTATTCCATGATATAGATAAACTACATCTTCTTGATCCATTCGTCCGTGGATGGACACTTAGGCTCTTTCCATGTTTTAGCTATTGTTGAGAGTGCTGCTATGAACATTTGGGTACATGTAAGGAGCTCACAAATCTGAGTATAGGAAGAAGCTCTCACAAATAGCACAACACCATTTCTGTCAAGATCACAGTCTTCCGAGGTATATATCTTTCAAAACTATGATAAGAGAATTTCTATAAACGAACCAACAAAAAAGAGCCCCAGTTTTTACTAAGCATAAGACCCATTTCCAGTTAAAAAATTCTCTGACTAGGTTTCCACATCCTAAAACACAAGTAATGGTAATTCAGTTCACCTAACTCACAAAATAGAATACCAGAAACAGTAACAATTCCATTATAATTACCTTTAAGATTCCTTACAGCTACAATATGATAAACTAGTATTCTAAGGATTCAAATTACTGTATGACTAAAACAGTGAAGATGCCAAGAGCCCCAAGAAAGAAAATTCAAGCTTGTTTTCCTGTCTTTTAGTGTCTGACAGAACACAAGTCAGACCAAGGCCTGACGCACCTGTCTAGGGTGACAGAGCATTCCACTCTGTGCACCATTTGTATCTCTGCCTCAGCGGATTTTCTTACTTTGATATTTCCTACAATGTGCTTATCTTCTTATTTTGTTGTGTTTTGTGTATCGCAGCCAGCTCAAATAATTTTTATGTACAAGGGATGGGGCAGGGGTAGCAGCGCACAGAGATGCAGGCAGATGGATTACTAAAGAGGACGGAGGCAGTTATCAACACTGATCTTCAGCAGCAAGATCAGCTCACTACTTGCCAGTTATGAGAACGTGAAAGAGTTATACAATCCATTTGTGTCTCGGTTCTCTTCATTCGTGGCATGGAATACAGTGCCCTACCAGGAAGTGTGGTGGGGATTATATAGAGTGTATGAAAGGTACTTAGCACATATATTTGGTAATAATGACACAAAAATGACAGTTAATACAGATAAAATAATCAATAAGCAGAGCAGAGATCTCTTCCTCTCATTTCTCATGATTATATTATAACCCAGACATTTAGCCATCTAGACCTCACCAGGTGTTCTATTTTCCTATAAAATCTAGGAAATAACTGTGATGTAAAGAGGCTCTTAGCTACGCACCCCAATACTCATTCCACCCTTCCTTTACAGTGAACAGAACCCAGGTGCCTAGGAGAAATAAAATACTGTAAATACTTGCAAGGATCCCTGGCAACAGTGTGTATAGCCAAGGGGCCACACCATCCTATCATGGTTAATGAAATGTAAAATAAAAACGGTTTTGTATCTTTTGGGAAGAAAAGATTGCTTAGAATGACCAAACTAAGCCAGCAAAGACCCCTTTTGTCTTTTCACCCTTCTTCACTTTAATTGCCTGGAGTTTCGATGTAAGAGTTGGAGCTCAAGTAGCCATGTGATCATAAGACTAGGTGATAAGGACAGTGGAACAGTAAGACAGAGGAAGCCCAAGTCCCCAGTACAGTGAAATTCCTTATTCTCCCTGTGCTTCCTAATTCTAGACTCAATGAATGTGAGAGAAAAATCATTTCCATCTCGAGGCCCTCAGATGCTGAATTTTTGTCATATGCAGCCAAGCTTAACCCTAATGGATGCACATCCCATGAAATAGGCTACAGAAAGCACTAAAGGGAAACTCAAATGAAGAAACAATGTCAAATTTACTGCTTCACATAGATTTTTTTTTTTTTTACATCAAACAGGTTAAAATAAATTAAGGGGAGAATACAAGGACGATACATAGGGTAAAAATAAGTCAAGAAAATACCAAATCTTGGTGAATGAGAAGAAGCCTTGAAATTAATACACTTGTGTCTATACTTTAGCAACTTAAACTCTAAAAATGAAGTCACAAGCATAGGTCACAAGCATAGTTCATCCCGTTACTCAATGTTCGTATTTTAGATGAATATAACCTGGGAAGCAGCCTCAGAAACTACTACTGCTTTAATAGGTTTTAAATCAAGGATAGAATATGAAGTCAGTACTTAAAAAAAGAAAGAGGCATCCTACGTGAAAGACTCTATATCTCTGAAGCATTACAAACAAACAAAACACCCACTTGCAATCAATTTAGCTCTCTTGTAAAACAAGAAAGCAGTGCTTGATATTAACAAAAATTCACTCCACAGCTAACATCATACTCAATGTGCAAAGCTGAAAGCTTTTCTTTGGAGATCAGGAACAAGTCCCACTTTCACCACTTGTATTCAATACAGTATTGGAAATCCTAGCCAGAGCAATTAGGTAAGAAAAAGAAAATGCATCCAAATTGGAAAGGAAAAAAGTAAAAAATTGTCACTTTTTGTGGATGGCATGATGTTATGTCATGTTAGCACAAAGACAAAAAATAAATGTTGGCGAGGATGTGGAGGAAAGGGAACGCTTGTGCACTGCTAGTGGGAATGTAAATTGGTGTAGCTACTGTGAAAGACAGTATGGAGGTTCCTCAAAAAATTAAAAATGATCCAACAAGTCCACTTTTGGATACTCATCTGAAGACAGGGAAAACACTAATTTGAAAAGATATATGCACCCCTATGGTCGTCACAGTATTATTTACAACAGCCAAGATATGGAAGTAACCTAAATGTCCACTGATGGGTAAATGGATAAAAATGATTCAGTATATATACACAATGGGATACTTCTTGGCCATAAAAAAGAAAAATATGAATGACTTAAGCATTCAATTCAAGAAACCAATTATATGACAAATATAAATGACTTAAGCATGCAATCCAAGAAATCAAGAATCAAGTAAATATATATGGAAGAAAATGGTAAAATAAAAGTAGAAATAATATAACTAAAAAAGCAAACATGGTAGAAATAAAAGAAAATTTCAACTCAAAGTTTTGAAATGTACAAGACTCCAATAGTTTTTTCATATAGGATTAAAAAACTGTTTTCTTCAATTTTTTTGTACAGAATACAATAACATAAATATTAGAATTTTTGGTACAGTATAGAAAAATAACATCTATCTAGATTAGAGAAAAACAACATATATATGAAAAGTAAAGCTAATTCTATTTTGATTTAAATGTAATTATCAATGACTTTCTCACTGCACAAGGCCTAACATTAAAGTATGGTTTCATCAGGTGTTTTGTCCTGTGTTTCAAGTAAACGCCTACTATGATTTGTCAAATA